TCAAGTTCTGCTGAATTTCAGTCAGCAAGGTTGTGTCATCTGCATACTGCAGACTGTTAATGAGTCTTCCTTCAATTCTGATAGCACATTCTTCTGCATACAGGCCAGCTTCTTGAATCACTTGTTCAGCATACAAATTGAATAGATATGGGGAAAGGACACACCCATAGAGCGCACCATTTCTGATTTTGAACCATACAATGTTCTTTTCACTCTGTTCATACAACAATTTCTTGGTCTAGGCATAGGTTTCATATGAGCATAATTAAGTGTTCTGGGATTCCCCTTCTTCTCAATGTGAGCTATAATTTGTTATAATCCACACAGTCAAATGCCTTTGCATAGTCAACAAGACACCAACAGATCTTCTGGTATTCTCTGCTTTCAGCCAGGATACATCTGATGTCAGTAATGATATCCCTGGTGTCACGGCTTCTTCTAAACCAAATTTGAATTTCCAGCAGTTTTCTGTCAATGTACCATTCTGGTCATTTTTTTTAATGATCTTCAGCAATATTTTGCTTGCATGTGATACTGTTCTACAACCTCCACATTCTATTGGGTCACTTTTTGGGGAATGGGAACAAATATGGATCCTTTCCAGTAAGGCAGCCAAGTAGCTGCCCTCCAAATTTCCTGGCATAGATAGACTACTGAGCATGTCTAAGGCTGCAACTATCATTTGAAACGCGTCAATGCGTATCCCATTGATTCCTGGGGCCTTATTTTTGCCAATGCCTTCAGTATAGCTAGAACTTCTTCCTTTATTACCATCAGCTCTTGTTCACACGGTAAATATTTCAGTGTCAACCAACTCTTTTTGTTATATTCCTTCCAACCTTGATGCATCCTGGATCATTAAAAATTTTTCCAAAAGCATCTTTCAGTACTGCAACTTGAGGCCTGAATTTGTTTTTCAGTTCCTTCAGCTCGAAAAATGCTGAACAAGCTGAGTTCTTCTCTTTTTAATCTCCAACTCCAGCTTTTTGCATATTTCATTACTATACTTTTACTTTGTATTCTCAGGCTGCCCATTTAAATCTTCTAGAAAACGGAAAGTGGTCAAATAGAAAATGGAATGCATAAATATTGAATTCTAGGTATTACTGAACTGAGACAGACTAACCTGGGCCATTCTGAATCAGACAATCACATGATCTATTACGCCAGGAATGAATTCATGGTGAAAAAGACAATTTCATGATCTATCTTAAAGTACAATATTGTGAATGACACAACACTGTTGTGTATACTTATGTATACACATACAAGGAAGACCTGTTAATATGACTATTATTAGAATATATTCACCAACAACGAAAGCCAAAGAACTTTTACAGTTCTAAATAGACCAAATTTGCAATCAAGATGCATTAATAATTACTGGTGACTGGAATGCAAAATTTGGAAACAATGAGGTAGGAATTGTAGTAAGAAAGTGTGGTCTTGGAGACAGAAATGAGACCAGACATCAAATGACTAAATTTTGTATGTTCAATGATTTATTCATCACCAATATCTGTTTTTTAAAATGCAAAAGGTGATTTTACACATGGGCCTCACCTGATAGACTGTACAGAAATCAGACTGACTACTGCTCATATCAGCAGTCAAAACCAGGCCAAGCGCCGACTATGGAACAGACAATCGATTATTAATATGCAGGTTCAAATTGAAAATGAAAAAAATTAAAAACAAGTCCACAAGAACCAAAATAAAACCTTGAGTGTTATCTCACCTGATTTAGTAACTTGGACAATGAAGGTAGGTGTATTGGAGTCTGTTAAACTGGCTCAGGACAAAGCAAGCTTCAGAGCTATTGTACATAGGGTTGCTATAAGTCACAGGTAACTCGACAGCACATAACAATAACAACAATCCCACCTGAATTTAAAAATTATCTACAGACACCACAACAAGATAAAGATAAACAACGCAATTGAAAAATTGGCACAAGATATGAACAGACACTTCACCAAAGAAGACATTCAGATAGCACACAAACACATGAAGAAATTTTCAAAATCTGTAGCTCTAAGAGAGATGCAAACCAAATCAACTATGAAATATCATCTCACCCCAGTAAGAATAGCAAAACTTAACAGAACAACAAACAACAAATGCTGGTAAGGTTGTAGAGGAACTGGAACCCTTATTCACTGTTAGTGGGAGTATAAAATGATACAACCACTATGGAAGGCTGTATGATGCTTTCTCAAAAAGTTGCAAAGAGAAATACTATTTGACCCAGCAATTCCACAACTGGGAATATACCCATCACCCAAGCAGATATATGCACACTCATGTTTATTGTGGCTTTGTTCACAATAGCAAAGAGCTGGAAACAACCCAAGTGCTCATCAACAAACGAATGGATAGAGAAGCCGTGGTATATTCACACAATGGAATTCTACGCTACTTTGAAAAACAGAGAACTCATGAAATATTATTAAAAATGGGTGACCCCAGAGGACATTATGCTGAGTGAAATATATCAGTCATAAAAGGACAAATACTATATAGTGCCACTGTTGTAAAATAGGACTGACATCAGGGTTGGGGCGAGACTGAGAAAGAGGGGATAAATAATGTTTACTGTATTGACAGATGAGGGAGAAAACTGTTTAAGAGGGATATATGATTAGGTATTTTTGTCATGATAGGAGTCCAGAACGAAGGCTGCACAGTGGAGTGGGCTGAATGGGGGAGGGATTGTATAACAATGAAATAATTTTTCTTTTACTTTTCAAAGAGAAGAGTGAACTGGGGGTCGGAGGGGTGGGCAGGAAGAAAAGGGCAACAATGAATGAATGGCAATCCAAAGTCTCTATAAGCTTTCATTAACATTAATAATAAAAAGGAAAAAATAATCTACAGAATAAGTTTGAGACATCAAACACTAATGATCAAAGACCAAATGAGTTATGGGAAGACATCAAAGATGCCATCCATGAAGAGGGCAAAAGGTCGTTAGAAAGACGAAGGAGGAAGACCAAATGGATGTCAGAAGAGATGGCTTGCACTAGAGCATCAAGAAGTCAAAACAAAGAGGAGAAATGCCAAACTAAAAACCCAAAGAAGTAGCTTAATGAAAAAATTCAAACCAGATGCACCAAGAGGAATGGCAAATTAGTAAGAGTGGAGTAGGTATTAAGATATTTCAGGTTAGGAAACTATTATTTTGGGTAAGTCTTAAGAACGATTTGCATCGCTGAACTATGTGTTTAATTATATTAATTTATAACTATATGCTGTATAAAATATAACTTGGATTGCTGTTGTATGTCACTGAGTTCAAAATGACCCATAGCTGACCCTCCAACAGGTTTTCAGAGGCAGTTAATCACACAGGAGACTGCCCCTCTTTCTCCCAAGGAGAAGCAGGTGAATCTGAACTGCGTGCCTTTGGGATTGCAGCACAGCTTCTTACCACTAGGCTACCAGACTGCCTAATTTATAACAAATGCTGTATAAAATAGAACTTAGATAAGCATATGACAGTGTACTGAGCTTTGTGCAATAGCAATACATCAGCCAATGAGATCTAACCAAGATGCGATTACTGCTAATTGAAATTGTACTTTGTAAATAATCAAATAATTAATACTGTATATTAAACTGTTCCTCACCACTTTCCCAACTCTATTCTCTCTATGATGCCTCTTAACTACTTGCAAAATGATACAATGCAATTGGAAAAAACACTGACCCAAAAGTCAAGAGACTTGTGTTCTATGTCCATCTCCATGGCTTCCCTTTATATAAATATACAGAGTTTTGCATAAGAAAATAACACTGAAGATGAACTATTAAAAACATGAATATATCACATATTTCTATCCAGTCATACCTCCACTCACCCGCAACACAAACACACACATAGCACTGAAAGTTCTTTAGATTGAATTATCCATATTTTCTTCCACTTTTGTTAAAAACAAATATATACACTGAAGAGATTGTGAGCTGGGTTTAAGGATGTCACATATGCTAGTAAAGAAGTGTTCTATTATTCATGTAAATCTACCCTTCCGTAAGGACTTCAACTATATAATCTTGATTTGTTAGTAAATGTTTTTGACTTGATCAAGATACATAGCTTGTATATTAAATAGTGCTAATTGGTTCTGGCTTTTAAGCTGAACATTTTTACTGTTTATTAGGACAGAAATGTTTATTTCTGAATTTTGTCTGGCATAGGATCTACTATCTTGCTGAGCAAAGTCACAATATTTATTAGATTAGGCAAATAATTGGGGGGGGAGGGGAACAATGTGGATGAAGTCATCTAATACAAACCCAGATTACAGAATAAAAAAGATCTTAGAACAAAATGGGCAATCAGGAATTTGTTGAGAAATACATAAATAAGCACAATGCTGCATTATATGTGCAAACAATCGTGATCTGAGTACAAGCCAAAATTGAATTTACGGGCAATTTTACAATTGCAAGAGTTAAAACTAAGATTAATACTTTAGTATCCACTAAGGTGTTATCTAGTCAATTTCTTTTTTTTAACCCAGCAGTAAAATCAGTCAGTACTTAAGTTATCAATTACTTAAGTGAAGTTCTAACTACTATAGCAAAATTAAAAATTTCATACCAAAGACCAATAATACATACTGATTCAAATCATAGTTTTTCTCTATGTACCAAGGAGTCCTGTGGCAAAGTGGAAAAGTATTGACTCCTAAAATCAAAAGGTCAATGGTTCTAATTCATTAGTCACTCTACGGGAGAAAGATGTAGCAGTCTACTATTATCAGACAGATTACAACCTCGGAAACCCTGTGAGGCAATTTTACTCTGCCCTATAGGGTCACTAAGAGTCAAAACTGACTTGAGAGCCATGAGATTTTTGTCTGATCTATGTATCACATGTGAACGATAAAACTATGACAAATCCTTTTGTAGAATATGTACTATATGATAAGCCATCCAATTTTATAGTCAAATCATGGTAAACCAAAATAGTTTGAAATATGCAGGTTTATTACCTTTTTCTTTAGCATGAATGTCATCACATATGTGTAGATCTAGATGAGAAATCACTAAGTGATGGGAGGTTTCTTTAACATCAAAGTCACTGAATAGTTTCATAATTGCATCATTTACATCAGGAGCATTTGGAGTCTGTGGTGTCTTCACTTGCTGGGTAGATGGTGCTACAGTAGAACTCTAAAAAGATTAAAAACTGCCCTATCACTGCAAGTTAAGCACTTGAAATTTTACATATAAGAAAACCTAAAAAAGCAGCATAATACATTTTCTTTTGTATCAATAACTCAATTCCCTAGAATAATTTTCTAATAGGAATAAAATTGAAAGTTAAATTGGGAAAGTATGAACAACTTGAATGTCACTGTTTCTACAAATATTTCAAGAGTTACATTTATATATTTATTGCTTCTTATTGGAGAAAACATTAAATTCACAAAGGCAAGGTATTTGAATACTGCTAGTTCTGTATGCTAAAAAAAATAAACAATTGTTTATTGTTTAAAAACCAAACAGATGAGCTGTAAATAGTTATATATCCTTTAGAAAGAAAGAAAGCAGATCTGAAAAAAGCCCTGTATTATTTTATTTAGTATTTTAAGTGCTCTGGTGTCTCTTTCACGTGGTATAGTCTGTTGTTAGAATATGGGTATCTGAAGAAGCCAGGATGCAAAGGAGACAAATTTGAATTAAAATATTTTTCTACCTAATGAGAAAATGCACAGAATACTGCCAAGTGTAAAGACACGGATGAACTCTAAATAGTTTAAAATTATTTTTTAATCATTTTAATAATTATAAAGTGACCTGAGATACAAGCCAACAGAAAAATAAAGATTGAATTTTTAAATTTAAAAAGGTTACTATGTTTTAATTGAAAACAACATATTACTAAAAGCCAAGTTCATTATTTACCGAAAACCAAAGTACACATATTTTGTATGTAAATGTAAATGACATCAATTAGGAATTATGATCATACTGCAAAAGAATTTCAAAGTATATTTAGCAAATAAGAATTTCTCAAAGAAAAACATTTTAACTCACAGTTAAAGAAAAAAATGATGACATATAGCTTTGAAATAAAATTATTTTATCAGAAACATCACTTTTATCATGCTTTTCCCACGACTCTCAAAGTAACAATCTAGAATTTATGTTACTGGTCGTAATATTTTAAAAGAAATTTGTCCTGTATGATTCTTTCTTTTTCATCATAATAAATATGACTACAACTAAAACAGAAACAATCTCTCTACAGCTTTTTCTTAATATTGACAGACAGGTTTCTGGATGCTGTTTCTGGGGAGGAAAAAAAAAAAGAAGCCCTTAAGTTTCTCTGCACAACCTAACATTTCTTACAATGTCAATTCATTCTTTACTTTCTCTTCAAGAGAAGAAAAGAATGAAGCCAAAAAATTTATTATGATAGATGATAATTGTCAAGGATATCTCAAAAATCAGAGTATTTTTTTAAAAAATCAGGATATTCTGTATTAAATAAGGTAATATAGCAACTAGCCATGCAAGAAAGCAACTCTATGGTATAAAAACATGACTAAGTAATTCAATGTGAAATATTCCAGAGAAACAAAAAGTATCAATTAAAAACATTAACAATATGGAATGGGGTTCTGGTGGCTTAGTGGTAAGGAGTTACGGTGTCAGCCCAAAAGAAAGCATTCCACCAGCTGCTCTATGAGAGAAAACTGAACAGTCTCCTCCTGTGTGATTCACTGCCTCTGAAAATGCACTGGGGATGTCTAGCTATGAGTTGCTTCAGACTTGAAATCTTACATAACAATAACAACAGCAATAGGGAAGAAAATTACGAATATGTATGTCCCTTAAAACTATGAAAAATGCAGACTTAAGCAGAGTATCTTTGAGATACTCTAAGATGTTAACAGTAGCTATACTGAGATGGAAAGATTAGGTCCGGTTTCCTTGTTACCTGTAACTAGTTTCTTAATGTACACATTCCATTTTATATAAACACATCTGTACAGTATGTAAAGTACAGAACTACCAATCCTTTGTCCAGTAGTGTTTAGTTGTCATCTGTGTCAATGAGAACTTAGCTAAATTGTCTCCATAAAGTTTAACAGACTGGTCGATGTCTGTTATGTGTATAATGGTACTATGGTAGAACAAAACACTCTCTTGTACCTTTTTAATCATGTTTTATCACCTTAAAATGAAACTTAATTATCTTTTCAGCTTTACATCCCTAATGAAACGTGCTTCCTTCTCTGCACTCCCTCTCTTGGCTACTGGAATAGCCAATCATCATCCCTAAGCTTCCCAACAATTATTTCCTCCTTATCGCCAAATGATAAAAGGTCATCTTTATTTTGACTTATTATTTCTTCTTTCAAACCATTGAGTCTGACCTTTCTCTGGACTACAATCTCTCCTTTTTAGTTCATCCTCTATCATACCTTTCAGTACAGGTAGTCTTCAGATTCCAAAGGAATTCTGTTCCTAAATCTCTCTAACCTGAACATTCAGTCAAGTGTTTGTCTAATACTATATAGCATTAATAATGTCTTCTAATATATGAGGGGGGGGAATAAAAAAAATAGTAGATCTGCAAAAGCATCTTTACCTTAATAAAACAATAATGTTTAATGAGTACCAAAAATTAGCACCTATTTGCAATGAGCCATTGCACACACCTCTGTATAAGGGTCTCGCATACGAGGCACTGTGTGTGTGTGTGTGTGTGTGTGTGTGTGTAAAAACCAGACAATCTAAAAGTAAAACCTTACTCCATTTTCAAGTCTTGAGTCTGAAACTTTTTAAAGCTATCTTTTCAAATGGTAATTCCTTTAACTCTGATGTTGCCGTAAGGACAAAATTCCTTTACTCAGGTCTGGCAAGATATGTAATATAAAATATCACAACTATTCCAAAAAAATCCCTTTTATTATAGTCAACTGTGGTGGCCTAGTGCATAGGGAGTGATGCTGCCAACCAAAATGCAAGTGCTTGAATCCACCAGCTGCTTTAAAGAAGAAAAATGGGTAATCTCCTCCCGTGCAAGTTACCATTTCTGAAAATCTGCTGGTAGGTCAGTTATGAGTTGGTTCTGATTCAACAATGAGTGAGCCAACGAGAGTCTGTGCCTGAAATATCTTCGTGCACAGTATTATCAACAGATCTTTATAAAGACCACCAAAAACACACGACTGAAGAAGCAATTTTACTTACTAACGGGTTCAAGAAAAATTTGTCTTCTTGTCCAAGAGTCACCCTGTGATAAATTAAATGGCAAGCACCTTTGACCAATCATGTAATCCCACATGTGTTAATTCCTGCATCATTCACAAATGACCTGCTTTTAGATCTCCCCCCTTTAGCTCCCTCCACGATCTTTCTGAAAACTGTGAACTTTACAATCCTGCTCCATGAATAAAAGTAGCAGAGTGGCAATTTTCACTCTGTAACAAAGGGTATTTAGTCTGTACCTCTCAAAAAACTTATTTTGCTTTTATTTAAGCAGAGTAAGTGATTCTGTTCCATGACAATGTTGAGTTTTTAACATAATCATAGACTATGCACAAGTTGTACATAAGGCTAACTTGAGCCTTAATTATCGATTACATAGGATAAGGCCTTCACCACTTAAAAATTTCTATTGGTTCCCAGATGTCTATAAGGAAAGGTCCAAATTCTTCAATGCAACTAGTCATCCTATCCAGTTATAGCACACTTATGCTTCAAGTTAGGCCACCTGCTCAAGAAAGCCCTATTCTAGGATTTATAGTCTATTCACTAAAATTCTTTTCTCAAGTTCCCCTGAATAATTTCCAAAAAGCAATTATGTATGAATAGTATTTACTGATTGAATGATACCAAGCTCAGTATAAATTCCAAATCTGTGTATTTGTTTTTATCATCCTAAATCCTAAGAAACATTATAACATAAATAGATTGAACTGAAAAGAGTTGTTTTAACAATGCAATTGGACTATAAATTCATTCCAGTTATATGCCAGGATTCCAAATAATCTACTACAAATAAGATGACAATTAATAGATCTTCCTTCAAGTACCTTGAAAGCAAAGAAGTAGAAATTATAGTCACTCACTGCCAACGTGGACAATATTTCAAATAATACCATTGTTATTCTCTAGAAGCTTGTTTTGTTTAAATATTCTGGACAAATTCACTTTATTAAGACTGGATTAATAAAGAATGCTTCGCATTCGCATTATTTGTTGTTGGGTACCATCAAGTCACCTACGACTTTGAGAGACCGTATGAACATATCTGAACCTTACCCTAACCTGTACCATCCTCAAGATCATGCTCAAAGCCACTGTTACAGTCACTGCATAGGTATTTAGAAGATTAATTTAAAGAGAGATGAATAATCTTACATCATAAGCATGCTCTTAAACCAAGTTTATGAGAAGATGTAGAACCCTTAAAACTTTTTGTGCTGATAAACCATCAAAAGTTGTCTTCTATCAGTATCTAAGTAACAGTAAACTCCCATCTTTATGAGAAAACACCTTGTTCTTCATTATATTTTTCAGATTGGATTCCTCCTTCTAAATGCCCTTCCCCTCATATCCTCCTATGATCTTCTGGTTCATTTGAAAGACTGTATTTCATTATCATCTTTGAGAAATCTTTCTGAATTCTACAAGTAGTTAACTAAAATTTCCTTTTCTTGTTTAGAACTTATTCCTTCACATTATATCATAATTTATCTAGAAAGAACTACCTCCATAGCAATATGAATTTTCAGTACCCTTTAAGCTTTAATCAAGGGATGATAAAAACAAATTTAAGAAAGATCTGCTTTTTTTTACAGAATAGTTATAAAAGATATAACTAATAGGGATTTTCCAAGTAGCTTATTAAAGTGATCTTGATGTTAACACCTCAGAGTATCTGGAAAGGGTAAAAAATTATTTTCTTCTTCAAACATTTTAGAACATGATCATTAATTAGTTCATTGTGCTACCCTCATTTCTGCCACAGTTATCAGATATCCAACAGCAATTAGTGTTCAACTGCAGCACTTCCATATTAATTTTAGGTCTGTGCACTACTAATTCTTCTACTGCTTCTCTTTCCTATAATCACCCAGGGGTTTTTTTCCCTTCTACACTTAATAGTTTTAAATCTATATTCCCTATATCCTAAAAAGTTGTTTCATAATATAAAATATTTTATGTCATCATTAATTCCAGCCCTTACTTGATACAGAGTTCCAAACAAAATATGCATTATAAAAATAATATCTTTAATATATGTTTCCATGTAGATTGTGTGTATGTGTGTCTACATTAAGATGTTCAGCTAAAGAATATTATTGGCCTCAAATTCTTAAACTCTATTTCACATAAAGAAAACACTAAGTAAGCATTCTAAGTTTTAAAATGTCTACACGTAAGATAAGTTTGTTTTCTCTGTTAAAAGCATACCTGTGTAGGTTCAGAAGCCATACTTTTCCTTTGTTCTGTTGATTTTTCTATTGCTTCACTAAGAGATTTTGCATATTGTACCATAGCCTTCAATTGAGAATCCGTCAAAACCCATAATAAGTCATCCAATAATAGAATTAATTTTGTTGCTATGACATTGCAGTCCTTTAACTGTCAGGAAAAAGAATTTATAAAATTAAACCCAGGACTAAAACTTAAAGTGTACTTGAATAAAAAGTTTCCCAATTTTTAGTAGAAGTGAGTTCTTCCTTCAACAAATATTTACTTAGTTCCTATAATACAGAAGGAAGAGCTCCTAGTACTGAAGATACAACATGAAAAATACTGGCAAATTTCTATTCTATAATTAGTAGCAAGTTCTATAATACTTATAAAAATAAGTATCCAAATTTTCTAAGTGATTTACCTGTGGTAACTAAAATTTGCATTTATAATTAATATATAATTTTCTGTATTCATTCAATAAGTCTAGTTAGCTCTGGTCATAGAGTGGGTAAGAAGTTGAGCTGCCAATCCAAAGGCATGGAGTTGGAATCCACCAGCTATTATAAAGGAGAAGAGCACTAAGCTTCCTTGTCATTTATAGTCTCTGAAAACCTAGAGGGTCAGCTGTGAGTCAGTTCTAACTTAACTGCGTAACAACAATAATCCTAGTATAGAGAAGTAAATTATAAAGTAAAAAAAAAAAAAAACCAAAAAAGATGTTAATCATGCTTTACATTTCAGAAAATATTTATTAAGTAGTATAATCAAAAGGATGTTTTCAATTTCATTTAACAGATTTATTTGTGCTATGAGGTACAAAACATTTTAAGACCTTTAACTGCACAATGTTTTTTTAAAGTCACCACTTATTCATTAAATTTTATCATAAATCACAGTGGATGCTAAACTTCTGGCAAACATTCACAGGAATTCTGAAATCCTTAAGTAATTGTTTTTCTATTTATCTAAATTATCAGTCATACCTTAATAACTACATAATCAGTATGGTTAGTGCTAAGAGGCTTTGGTGCTTACCACTAAACAAGATTCACCAGTAAATATCAAATGTAAAGCAATAAATACTCAACAAATATTATCTCTGAGAAATATATTCAATTCACAAAAAAATAAAAATCTTTTCAAAATGTAGGTATCAAATCTGGAAGACAGGAATTCACAACAAGCAAGCACTATATGTCCCTTTATTCTGAACTGTTTTAATATGCCAGTAGCATGTTCTTAAATATGCAAACCAAAAGGCACAGGACTGGGTGACACTCTGCAAGGCTTCCATGACTGGGTTCAGACATGACAACAACTAACAGCATGTCATAATCTCACCCAAGAATTATTTGAAATTTCCAGTCAATTCCAATAGTTAACACAGAAGCTATAGAATTAAACTTGTTGACTTACTCTTCTTTTCAGTGTGACTCTGATTTTTGATTGATTGGTTATTAATCGAACAGGAGCACATAAAATTTCATGTGAACTTTGGGTAGCATCTGCCTCTATTCGAATCATCTGCCAATTTATTTCTTTAAAAGTCAAAACCTAAGGAAAGTAAAGAGACTCATGTCATTAACTCATACAAAAGAGAATGATAAAAATGTAAGTTTGTAAAACAATTTTTTATATTTTATAAAAACTAATCTCAACAAATTTTCATGTGACACCCTACATGGATGTATTCATCATGCTTTTATTTTTACATTAAATTAGATACATCAAAATTTGTAACATATTTTCATAATTATATTCAACATTTGGAAAGCTGATATTTTTATTCTAATAATTAACATAACTAAAGTCTAAGAAAATCTGAATAATGTAATGAAAAATCTAAGTAACAAATACTGATTTTTAAAATTTTAATTCTGACTGAGAAGATAAAACAGAAAAGACTTGTACAGTAAAAAATACTAAAATGAGTATTTTATAGTTAAGAGTAACAGAGTAAAGAAAAAAAGTAAAATCAATCTAGCACTCTGTGAATCTGGGAACTACTAAATGTGATTATTTTAAATATCTTCTTTCTCATCAACTAAAACATTTCAAAAGGAGGAAAAACAGAAGAGTATTTACCTCTCCTCTCTGTGGATCCTGGATACGAGTACGTTTTAAATCTCCATGTTCCCAGTTTGCATTTACACTATATATCCGTTGATGGGAAAGTTCAAAAGATGCATTAAAGGCTTTTGCTCCAATTTGAATTGAATGGAATTTACAGAAACAGTAATACCCTCAACTACTTTTTCAGCAAAGCCATATTCACTGGGAAAACAAAATATAATACATTGAAATAAAAAAAATCATTAAGAAACAAAAATGTTTTCAGTTAATATTTCATACTTTTACATATATATAATTTGTCCTAGCACTGCATCATGTATTTTTGCTTAAAAAATAATTTTTGTTTAAAACGATGGCATAGCATACCTAAAAGTAAGTAATAAAAATACTATTCACAAATTATAAGTGATAAAAAATCCTGTAAGTAACACCACACCACACACTGCCACCGAGTCAATTCTCACTCCCAGCAACCTTCGTTAGGATTCCAAAGTTACAAATATTCACAGAAAGAGACTACTCATCTGTCTAAAAGGAGTTGCTGGTGGATTTGAACCACTGATCTTTCAGTTAGCAGTCCAACATGTAGCACACGAGCCCAACAGAGCTCCTTACTTTGTAAATTTGTGGTTGTTATGTGCGGTTGAGTCGGAACTCAACAGCTGATCCTCCAGCAGCCTTTTAGAAGCTGTAAATTGCACAGGAGTGCCTGCCTGTCTTCCTTCTGCTGAGCATCTGGTGAATCGGATCTGCCTGCCTCACCAATAGGCCATCAAAGTGCCTTCATTTACTTTGTAAAGAAAGTTATTAAAATCAATATATACAGCTGGCAACTTTAAAAAGGTATCAGTCTGCACCACTGACATAGATAAACAAACTAATAGAACTAAACTCTCCAAATATAAAAAAGACACATGTCCAATTGAAATATATCCCAATAATGTAAGAATGAAACAGACAGATATCCTTCTGGTACTCTTTGCTTTTCTCTAGTGCCACAGCCTCTTCTAAACCCAGCTTATATTTCTGGTAGTTCTCTGTCAATGTACTATTCCTGTTGTTTCTGGATAATCTTCAACAGAATTTTGCTTTCATGTGATATGAGTGATATTGTATGATCATTTCCACCACTGAACCATTGGCAGCACTATGATGGATGGAGAAGAGACTGGGGTTAACAGTTATAGCTTGCTCGGTTCTACAATCAACGCTCTTGGCACCAGTAGTCAGGAAATCAAAAGACAATTTGCATTGTCAGGGACTTTGCAAGAGTACTGAGAAGCAATGATGTCAGTCTAGAGGGTAAGGTGCACCTGATCCAGTTCACTGTCTTCATAATTATTTGCTATGCATCAGGTAGCTGGATATGACTATGGATGATTGAAGAAAAATTCATGCCTTTGAGTTGTAGTGCTGGAGAAGAGCATTGAACATACCATAGGTATAACATAGGTCTGTCTTAGAGTAAAACCAAGTTTCTCCTTGGGAGTCTAGAATTCTGAAGCTCCATTTTACATACTTTGGGCATAAGGTCAGGAGGGACCTATCCTTGGAGGACATCATGCTTGGAAGGGTGGAGGCACAAGGCAGGAGAGGAAGACCTGAGATGAGATGGATTCATATAGTGACTAGGGCAATGGGGGGGTAGGTGTGTCGGAGTCAGTGAGACTGGCTCAGGACAGGGTAGGCTTCAGAGCTTTTATACATAGGGTCACTATGAGGCACAGGCAACTCGACAGCACATAACAACAACAACAACAATTTAAGAATAAGGCCATATAATTTTTACCTTCTATAATTCAATTAAAAACTGTCTACTGAGCTTCTGTCATAGAGAGATGCTTGGATATTAAGGAAACCAAAGTTTAGCTGCAGCTTTAGAAGGCTCACAAGTTCCTAAAGGGTTTGGGAGGATGCACACTCTAGTAATTAAACATGAAGTAGCTCATATAACTTAGAACTTTAAAAGAGAACCAACAGTGAACTGGGTAAAGAGAGGAAGGCATTATTTATAATTAATCATAACTGCACCTGAGAAAGTAGGATGGATTCCTATGAGAAGCAAGAAAAATGTTAGAATAAAGAAGAGCACCAGCAAAGGCATAGAGAGGCAGGGAGTAGAAGTCACACACTGAGTACAAGAAACAGAATAACTTCCAACATCATTAATACAATCACTACTCCTAAAGCTTCTCTACGTTCCAGTGCAATCTTCAGAGTTTCTTCTGACATCCATTTTGGTCTTTTCTTCCACTTCTGTCTTTGTAATGACCGTTTGCACTCTTCCTGGATGATACATTTAACATCCTCCCACAACACATCTGGTCTTTGCTCATTAGTGTTCAAGGCCTCAAACCTGTTCCTGAGATGATTCTGAAATTCAGCTGGGATGAAATGAAAGTCATATTTTGGCTCCTGTGGATTCGATTTAATTTTTCTCAGCTTCAGCTTGAACTTGCATATGAGTAGTTGGTAGTCTGTTCCACAATCAGCTCCGGGCATAGTTTTCATAGCTGATATTGAGCTTCTCCAGCGGTTTTTTTCCACAGATGTAATCAATCTGATTCCTATGCATACCACCAGGTGAAATCCATGTGTATAATCTGTGTTTATGTCTCTTAAAAAAACGTGTTTGCAATGAATAAGTCATTGTGCAAAATTCAATCATTCTATCTCCAGCTTCATTTCTGTCACCTAGTCCATGTTTTCCAACTACTGATTCTTCTTCCCTGTTCCCAACTTCTGCGTTCCAGTCGTCCATTATTACCAATGCATCTTGACTGCATGTTCGATCTATCTCTGACTATAAGAGTTGGTAGAAATCATCTATTTCTTCTTCTTTGGCTCTGGTTGTTGGTGCATATATCTGAATGATAGTGGTGTTCACTGGACTTCCCTGTAAGCGTATGGATATAATCCTATCACTCACAATGTTGTACTTCAAGATGGATCTAGAAATTTCTTTTTTAACTAAGAAAGCAACTCCATTTTTCCTCACCTTTTCATCTCTAGAATAATATATCATACGATCATCTGACTCAAAATAACCCATGCCAGTCCATCTCATCTCTCCAATGCCTAGTATGTCAATATTTATGCATTCCATTTCTTTTTTAACAATTTCTAATTTTCCTACATTCATGTTCCAATCACTAGTGTCTGCTTACAACTGTTCCTCTTCCTTTGTAATTCCATGCTTGAACGTTCTACCTAGATTGAAGATCTATCAACAATCTGCGTTATGTAGAAGACACAACCTTGCTTGCTGAAACTGAGGAGGACCTCATGCACTTACTGCAGAGGGTCGACGGCACATAACAACAACAACTCCGAAAACACTATTTCTGGTCTTTTTGGCTGAAATCTCATACTGTGAAAATGTCAATTGTATGAAAATATTCAACAATGGAAAAACATTATTTTAAAAATTTAAAAAATAAAAAGTTATAAAAAACAAAAAAGGTCAATTGTCTGCCTGACCTCTGCTCTTCACACAATTAAAATGTCTAAAATTAACCAATTATCTATCTCTATCATCAAGAGTTCTACTCTATGCCCACCACTGCTTATCCTAATACACTATCTTAATGAATATCCTAAGTTCTTAACCTCTCTATGATTCAGAGGTTCCATTATTCAAACCAACTAATACTTGCTAGTTCCTAAGTGGATTACATTAAAAATATAATCTGAATAGTCTATAATTTGACTTGATACTTTATAAAACAGAACTATTATTTCTAATAATTAATAATAGCACATCATTAATAAACCATTTAAAATCTCTCCGCTTCAGTTCTCTCATTTAGAAAATGGAAACATCTGCCTCATTAAGGTTGCCACAGCCATTAACTGACATGGTGTATGTGTAGTACCAGCCACGGTATCAGCACACCTGCGGTTCTTTTGTTATAATGGGAGACAGTGTTCTATCCTGAGCTTTGAATATCGAGAGCTGAAAAGCAAGAGCTCATCAAGGGCTAAATCCTAATGAAAATTTTGATTGAGAGCAATATTCCCAGGGAGAAAAAAGAATATTTCTATAATAATTATGTGAAAATAACCCTTTGGAATATGAAGCTCTAGGTTTTTAAATTCACGTACATAAAAGTTTTTTACAGCTCATGTTGCAGGACCAATTTATCAGAAAATGAAACTGGAAAAAACGACTGATGTTTACATTTTATGGATATAGTATCTATACTAAATTAAAAAGACAGTTCACAAATAAGTGTTTCCAAGTGTGATTAATATTTATATAAATATTAATTCCATATGAAATTAAACCACAATTATAACCAATTAATTCCACATGAAATTATGAAAGTATAAGTCTAAATTGATATTTACTATACCATTTATCTGTGAAAGCATTACCAGTCACCAGACCTGCTTAAAGAACAATTAATATGTTAACTTGTATTTTCATCTTTTAACTAAATAATAAACCAAATGAATCAGTGTTTCTCTAAGTCCTATGACTGTAAAGAAGCATTATCTGTAAGGTATTGCACTGCTAACCAAAAGTTCTTATTTTTAAGCAGTAGTTGAGACCTACTGAATTATAATTTCAAGAGAAATAACCTGAAAGAATACATTAATTTAGTAAGTATCCTAAGTGACTGTAACAATCAGTCTGGAAAACAATGGAACAAATTAACCATAATGCCATTTCAAAACACAAGAATCATCACCATGGGGAGCTCTGGTGGCCTAGTGGCAAGAAGCTGCACTGCAATCCCAGAGGCGCACAGTTCAAATCCACCAGATGCTCTGCCAGGAAAGGAGGGACAATCTCCTCCTGTACCAGTCAGATCCGATTTGACGGTACACACACACACACACACACACACACACTAATAAAATAATAATGAAAAAAATTTAAAAAGAAAAGAATCATCATCATACAAATAACTATAAAGGGAACATTCTAAAACTACTAGTACTACCACTATAAAAGAAAACCAACTTGAATTAGGATGAATATTACCAACTCACACTGGTAAAAAGACTTGTTTCTCAGATGAGAGAGAGAACAGTTTAAAAGGGATATGTAATTAGGTATTATTTTCATGACAGGAGAATTATTGTCATTGTCCAGAACGATGGCTGCATAATGGAGTGGACTAGAGGGGAGGGACTGCATAACAATGAAAGAATTTTTCTTTTACTTTTCAAAGAGAACAACAAATTGGAGGGAGGGGCAGGCAGGGAGAAAAGTATAATTATGAATGAATGGAAATCCAGAATCTCTAAATTTTCATTAAAATTAATAATACTAACAGTTTTTAAAAAAGGACTTGCTTCTCTAACACTTAGAAAACCATTTAACTCTTTTAATTAATCTTAAAAGGACCTTTATTTTTTCTCCAATTCTTGCTGATTCTAGTCAATCTAAAGACCAAATTTTCCTGTCCATACTATCAAACCTGGAATCATGAACTATAAAATCTCACACTGCTCAATGACGAATTGCAAAGAAGTTCATTTGAAAATTATTTTTCAGTAATTGTAATATGTATTCCAACTATAAATTATAAATCTAAGAAACTTGCCATTCAGTTTGTAGCAATGAAATGTATCACCATTACATTCTTATGTAGAAAGACACTGGTTACACTCTAAGTACTATAGAGGAAGGTGGTTCATTGTATGTAAGAAGGAAGAAGGGAGTATGTATAGACATTCTCAAAGAGTAGAAAGGGTTTATTACACAGCACATACCAAAAATAAAACAAAAACTCCAAACTCAATCCCATTAGTACAACTGATTACAATCCTATGTACCATCCAGAACACTTTAAATAAATGGTCCAGTACGCCAGGGTACGCAACTTGAGGAAACACAGTAAAACCTATGGAATCATTCTGTGCAGATAAACGGCACACTCCAAAAGTAACAAAGAAATTTAAGAAAATTATTTCTTGGAAGCAAAAGTAAACAGCTAATTTTTAGAAAATGTTATTTTTAAAAAGATATAGTCAGATTTTTTAGGAAGATTTTATAGACTAGTGAATCGTAAACATTCTCTCTCTTAAAAAAAAAAAAGTTCTCTGTCTCCCACAACCAGGAAAAATAGATGAATGGGATCTTCTAAGAATAAAATACCTATGCACATCCCAAAATTTCTCCAACAGGGTAAAAAAAGGGAAGCCACAGACTGGGAAAAAGTATTTGGTAATAACATGTCTGATAAGGGATTTATCTCTAGAATTTATAGAATATTCCACAAGAAGATAAAGGTAAACAACCCAATTGAAAAAGGGGCACAGGACATGAACAGACACGTCACCAAAGAAGACATTCAGATGGCAAACACACACATGAAGAAATGTTCAAAATCCCTAGCTATAACAGAGATGCAAATCAAAACAACTATGAGATACCATCTCATCCCAGTAAGACTAGCAAAATTTAACAGAACAGCAAGCAACAAATATTGGCGAGGTTGCGGTGGGAGTACAAATTAGTGCAACCATTCTGGAAGGCAGTATGGTGCTTTGACCCAGCAATTCCACTACTGGGAATATAATCTGAAGAAATCAGAACTTCCACCCGAGCAGATATATGTACTCCCATGTTTACTGATGCTTTGTTCACAATAGCAAAGAGTTGGAAACAGCCCAAGTGTCCATCAACAAATGAATGGATAGAGAAGATGTGGTATATTCACACAATGGAATATTATGCAGCACTGAAAAACAAAGAACTCATGAAATATTACACAAAATGGGTGACCATGGAAGACATGCTGAGTGAAATGTCTCAGTCACAAAAAAGACAAATACTGCATAATGCCACTGTTATAGAACAGGACTGATATGAGGGTTGGGAGGAAACTAAGAAAAGAGAGGATAAATAATGTACACGGTATTAAAACAGATGAGGGAGAAAACTGCGTAAAAGGAATATATGATTAGGTATTATTGGCATGACAAGAATCCAGAATAAAAGTTGCATAGTAAAGTGGTCAGGGAGTGGGGGAATGTATAACAATGAAAGAACCTTTTTTTCCAAAGAAAAAAGAAAACTGGGGAAGAAGGGGGAGAGAAAAATGTGCAACAATGAATGAATAGAAATCCAAGTTCTTTATAAAGTTTCATTAAAATGTAAATAAAATCTCATACATTGAGAAACTTTAAAACACAATTAAAAGCACACATGGCAATGAAAAAAAAGTTTTCTCTGACTCTTCCTCTTTCACCATTAGTCTGCCAGTTTGTTGTACTGTGATAATTTGAGTGTTGATGTGATGCCGGAAGGTATTCCACCAATGTTTCAAATGCCAGCAGGGCCAGCCAAAGTGGACAGGTTTCAGCAAAGCTTCTAGCCAAGGCAGACAGGTTTCAACAGAGCTTCCAGACTAAGGAAAGGAAGCAGGCTTAGTCATATACTTGTAAAATAATGGGCCATTGAAATATCTATAAAAAGTAGCAGAACACTGTCTGATAGAGTCTTAGCAGATGAGGCCCTCAGGTTGAAAGACATCCAAACTACAACTGGGGAGGAGGTGCCTCATCAAAGCAGAGTTTCCCTTCATTACTTGCATGGCATAAAGCTTTTTCACCCAACGAGGGCATTTATTGCCGATATAACATGACTATTGTCAAAGTGATGCCAAGAATTAGCTAAGCACCGTGGAGACTGTCAAGATGGTGTAGGACGTGACAAGGTGTCCTTCAGCTGTACATAGACTTGCTAAAAACAGCACCTAACAACAACAGCAACAGAATAATCCAAAAGATGTGTAATTTATTAAGAGTTGAACTTAATTCTTAAGAATCATAAACACTCCATTAGGGCAAAGAAAGTATTTAGTAGTTGATTTACAGAATGCCTAAACTCGCCTTCCATTTCCTGCTGCTGTACTACATCCGATTCATCAACAAGACTTAAGAACAAGGAATGCAGGATTTAAAAAAACAAACAAACAAACAAAAAAACACCACACAGCAAAAAAAACCAACCTTAAAAATAAAATCTGCTATTTTTGCTATTAAACTTCCTGTAAAATGTCCATGTGACCCAACTCTACTACGTGGAAACAGCTCATCTTTAAAGGAAACAACAATATAACTCAACCAATAATGCCTGTCCTAGCACTGTATCCTATAAATACATAGAATGAAATGATAATGACAACTCTAAAGCACAGACGAAAATTTTACAAAATGGAGTATAGTTTAAAAGTAGTGAGACAGGCAGGCAGAGAGAGTGGGACACAACGTCAATTAAATGAACATGGAAAAACTTCTATATAGGCATATGCTTGCTTATATCTTCTCACACACACTCTACAGGGCAGAGGTGAGCAAACTAAAGCTGATGGGCGAAATGTAGTCATGACCTGCTTTTAGTAAGTTTTATTGGAAGACAGGCATATCATTTCTTTATTATCTGTCCTGTTTTCCTGTTCAACATTTCAAAACAGAGTTGAGTAACTGTGGCAAAGACTCTATGACTTGCAAAGCCTAAAATAGTTACTATCTGACTCTTACAGAAAAAGTTTATTGGACCTGACACAGAAACACAATATGTTACAGTATATCTAGGGAATAGGAGGTCTCTGTGACACAAATATTTAAGTAGGAAAGGGCAATAAAAATAAGCAGATAGTTGGCAGAGACCGGTTGAAGGGCCTTCTAGGCCATGTTGTATTTTAGGTAAAGGAATACATGTTAGGTGATTGGCTATACTGACAAAAGAATGTCACAGAGGAGAAAGTTTGAAAGCTGGAAGGACACCATGTTTCTCAGCCTTTCTTGCAGTTAATATGATGAATTAATATACCCACTTTCAGACCTGAATCATAAAAATATCCAACAAGCCATCCTCTATTTTCCTAACTGCTGACTAAGGCCAAAACCTAGGGCCACTTTGGTGGCTCCACGTTGAAGGTGGCAGAGGCTGTGATCAACTGTAAAGAGTTTTAATCCTCTAAATCCTACTCTCAGTCACAGATTAACTTTGTATGAACAAACAGACTTCTGTATTGTTATACAAGGGAAAAAAATATTGTTTCATGGGAGAAACACCTAAGAAAAGAGAGTCTTTGAGGTTAGGGGCTTTTATTTTCTTTATGTCCTATTTCTGAAGATAACAGAACTGATTATGAAAAGAATTCCCATTGTTAGTCCTATTGTGGTTGTGAGGTTTCATCAAGTATACAACTTATAATGACCCCTATAAACAATGATCTGAACTTTGGCCTATTTTGTGACAGCCTCATCTTTGACACACTTGAGCCCATTGTTATACTCACTGTGTCACCCCTACTGTGGGTTATCCTCTCTTTTGGTTGATGTTCCACTTTTCCAAGCATGATATTTATATTTTCCCCCAAGAAATGGCCCCTCCTAACAACATGCACAAAGAATGTGAGACGAAGCTTCGTCATCCTGTCCTTTAAGGGGCACCCAGGTTGCACTTTCTCTGGAGGAATCAGGCATGCCAGGCCTGCACTTGCGCATCATTCCTAAAGATTAATGGACATCTCTTACCTTTGTCCTGAAACAGTTGCAATTGGTGATGGACCATTAGGGGCTCTTGGTTCTTCACATGTACTCATTTCCATTATTACTTTATCCAGAGACTGACAAAATTACATTAAAAGATAAATAATCAATCAAATATCTTACTTTATGCATTTTAGAAAGTATTATATAAGGCTATTTTCTACTTCATTACTTCAAAAGCACAGTAAACAATGAGGAGAGCCATTTCAAATGTCTCCCTAAAAGCCTAAAAGACAAATGCTAAAAGAGAAAACAATCGGCTCTGTCCTTTCTCAAAGTACTTACTATATGGTCGAGCAACTGTCCAAAAGGAGTATGAATAAAGAAAATAATTATAAAATGTAGCCATATAATACTTGAGAATCTCTTTAATCATAGAACATAGATTAACTACTAAATAGATAATTTTTTAAAATTCTTTCTCAGAGGAACACTTTTTTTCCTGAAGATCTAAAGTTGCTATGGATTGACTATCCTTCAAAATATGTGTTAGAATCTTAACTCCTATATCAATGGACTTTTAAATACAAAGGCCCACCCACTAAGTACTGATTGATTTAAACAAGAGGCTTCCAGCCCACAGTGAATTGTTAATTAAATCCAGACTACCACTTTACTCTCGATTATTAATGAAATAAAAAAATGACCAGTTTACCCCCAACTTTCAATCAAATCAAATTCTAGGGTGTAGGTTGTTTTGATCTGATTGAAAGTCAGGGGTAAATATGAGCTATGGTGGCCTAGTGGCAAGGGTCTGTGCTGCAATCCTGAAGGCACGCAGTTCAAGGCCATCAGCTGTTCCACAGGAGAAGGACGGGCAATCTCCTCCCATGAGATTAACTGCCTCTGAAAACTCACCAGAGGGTCAGCTATGGGTCATTTCTAACTCTACCGTACACAACAAACAGGGGTAAACTGTTTGGTCATTTATTTATTAACAATCAAGTATAAGCTGATTGGTTGTCGAGAATTAATTAAAAATCTGCTGTGGGCTGGGAGCCTCTTGTTTAAATAAATCAGGACCTGGTGGGATGACTTTTGCATTTAAAAATTGGCTGCTGTACTGAGATAACGTCAGGTTGCTGTGATAATGAAAGCTTTGCCACAGGTGTTTCAAATGCCTTAAGGGTTACCCATGATGGACAGGGTTTGGTAGAGCTTCCAGATTGAGAGACCTGGGAGCAGGACTGACATCCACTTCTTAAATAACAAGCCTTTCAAAACCCTATGAAGCCTAAAGAAATTATGATAAATTACAGAACAGGGTTCAGATTTTTTTGTTCATAGGGTTGATAGGAGTTGTACTCAATTCTACAACACTTACTAACAACTTAACAATGCACATATATAATTCATATATATCATCCTGCTTGGAAACAGGGTTTTATTATGTTTATCAAATCACACCCAAGTAGGGAAGGTTCTACATCTGAGCACTTCTGAGTTATAAATGAAATAAGTTACATACATATTCAAGGATGCTAAGTGAAGATCACCAAGGAACAACAATGAAGCAATCATAGCTGAGGCCCTGATTTCAACTTCTGACCTCCAGAACTATGAGAAAATATATATGTTCTTAAAATCACTCACTTGTATTTGTTTAAGGCAGCACTACCTAACTAACATTGTAGCTATCGCCAATACAATTCCAGCCATTCACTCATCCTTCATTCCTGATTTTGTTCATGCTATTTATTGCCTATTTTATTTATCTACTTATTCATTGTCAGTTTCCTAAATTAAAAACAGAATATAAATTCCCTCAGAGTACAGATCAAGTGTGGAGTAAATTTTTATAGAAAGAAAAAATAAAAAAGAGTTAAATTTTCTTCAGTATGCCTTAAAAAAGCAGAGTCTATTAAGGAGCATAATATTTAACATACGATAATCATAAAGCTAAAAACTCTAAATTTGATGATATTTTTTAAAAAGAATCCCACAGAGTTAAATGATGAAATAAAAATATACCAATTTAGAATATACCTCTTAAAAGTTAGTGTTAAAGTGAAGAAAATAGAATAGTTAAATAAATACATGTATATAAATATTTATTTACTGAGCAACTTAAAAACTCACCAAGCAGATGGGATGTGTTTTCAGTTTAGTCCATGGGATCTAGGGGGAGAAAAAATTCCTTAAAATGAATTACTAAAAAAATGTAAACTCATAATTAACACAGATGCCCTCTTTATAAAGCAATGATGACAATGATTTTAGTTGCTGGTGAGATGATTCCAATGAATGATAACCTCATATGAACAGAGAAAAGACCAGTGCCTTTTCCAAAGTGGCAAGCCAAGCTTGTCTTCTGAGCTTGTCTGTCTAGGTGGCTTCACACTAGCTAGTGGTTAGCACTTAATTACTTGCACCACTTAGAACTGTCCTTATTTGCCTATGCTGTAATTTTTTTAAATCATTCTTGCACATTTTCTTCCTTCTTTTCCCCTCCCCAGTCCACCCCGAAATGTACCCCTTGTTCCACATTATTCTCATACATATAATGTATAATCATATATTCTTTTCAGTTCTTCCCCTCATCTGTTCTAATGCAGTGTTCTTTTTCTAACTACTCTTTCCCCAATTCCTGTCCAGCCCCCCATGTCTATCCTATTGTACAGTGCTATTATGCAGTAATTAACCTTCTGTAACTGAGATTTTTCACTCTGCATAATGTTCTCACGGCTCCATCATGTTGTTTTACTGTTTTATTGTTTTTCAATGTTGCATAGTATGCCATCATGTGGAATACTACACAGCATTGTTCCACAGTTTTTCAATCCATTCATTTATTGATGGGCACTTGGTTTCCTTCCATCTCTTTACTATTGTGAATAATGCAACAATGAACATGCTGTCTTCTTTAAGTAGTGGATTGCCAGGTCCTTTCTCTCATAGAGCTGATAGTGAGTTGAAACTGCCAATCTTCAGATTAGTAGCTGAGCACTTAATCTTTATGTCACTACAGTGCCTTTCTATAGTGATAGAAAAAAAATAAAGCCAGTGCTGCTGAGTCCAACTTATAGCAATCTTCTGACAGGTTTCTAAGGTTATTTGTCTTAACAGGAAAACAATGCTCAATTTTCTTCCAAGGGTGAATCTAAACCACTACTAAACTTTCGTTTTGTAGCAGAACATTATAAGCATTAGCCCATGAGTGCTTCATTTTAGTGATGGGTATATCAAATTATATCAGATGACTGTTTTTTCTTACATTGTAAAATAATAAGATGAATATTCCATTTATATTTTTTAAAATCAGATGTATATGCTTTATAAGAAAATATTGTTAGTTGTATTTTCTTAGTCATTTTTTCAAACGTTGTTAATTGCTCCAGCAAGTTTTCAGAAGTTGTAAATTGCCTAGGATGTAACGGTCCGTCTTTCTCCCATGGAGTACAGCTTGTGGACTCGAACCATGTACCCTTGGGTTGGCAACACAAGCCCTTACTCACCAAGCCCCAGCACCTTCTTTTTAAAAATGTTGTTGTTAAGTGCCATTGAGTATGACTCAGAGTTAATAGGGACTGCAAAACTCACTAAACTACTGCTATTACATCATTTCTAATACATAACAACCCTACAGCATTGAACAGATCTATCTCACAGGGTTTCCAAGGGCCATTCTCACAGGAACAGACTGTCTCACTGCCTGATCTTTCTTCAACAGAGCAACTAGTGATTTTAAACAGCTGAGATGTTTATAATAAACACTCACTTAATACTTAATCCACTGCACAAGAAGGACTCCTTGAGGAACTACACAGCTTCTTTTAAATATCTGTGTAACCCGATCTTAAAAGTATTTAAATTTACAATTTAAACTAAGACTTATGAAAACAAAATCAGGGTTTTGCCGATTGGATGATTTATTTAATCCTAAAATTCTAAATGTTCTTATTATATAAAGACAAATACTGAAGTAATGTCATTCACGTAAAATGTAGGTAGCAAAAAAGACATTGTTGTTGTTGTTATGTGCCATCGAGTCACTTGCGACTCATAGCGACCCTACATACAATAGCCCCAAACCCTGCTCTATCCTGTGCCAATCTCATTGCCTCTGACACACCCATCCCAATTACCCCAGTCACTGAATCAATCCACCTCACAGAGGGTCTTCCCCTCCTGCGCTGTCCCTCCACCCTCCGAAGTATGATGTCCCTCTCCAAGCACCTATCCCTCCTTACAACATGTCCAAAGTATGTCAGACGAAGCCTCAGAATCCTTGCCTCCAAGGAGCAGCCCGGTTTAACCCTCGCCAGGATGGATGAATCTGTTTGTTTTCTTGGCAGTCCATGGTACATTCAATACTCTTCTCCAGCACCACAGCTCAAAGGCATCAATTCTCCTTCTATCCTCCTTAGTCACTGTCCAACTCTCTGATGCATAACAAGTAATTGCAAAGACCACGGCCTGTATCAGACGCATCTTGGTCTTCAGAGTGACACCATTGCTCTTCAGTACTTTGGAGAGGTCCCTAACAGCAGACTTTCCCATTGCAATACATCTTTGAATTTCCTGGCTAGTGATGCTAAGACTGTTGACTGTAGAGCCAAGCAGACTAAAGTTGTTAATCTCAATCTCTTCACCATCCATCCTGATGCTGCCAATTGGTCCAGTGGTGAGAATCTTTGTCTTCTTGATATTGAGTCTCAATCCATACCAAAGGCTGCAGTCCTTGACCCTCCGCAGCAAGCATTTCAGATCCTCCTCAGTTTCAGCAAGCAGGGTTGTGTCATCTGCATAACGCAGATTATTGATAGATCTTCCACCAATCCTGACGCCACACTTCTTATAGAGCCCAGCCTCTCGGGTTAATCTATTCTGCATACAGGTTGAAAAGGTATAGAGATAGGACACATCCCTGGTGTACACCTATCCCAATTCTGAACCATGCAGTGTTTCCTTGCTCTGTTCTGATGACTGACTCTTGGTCCAAGTATAGGTTTCTCACTAAAATGATCAAGTGTTCTTCTCAGAGTCAGCCACAGTTTGTTATGATCCACACAGTCAAACACCTTTGCATAATCAATGAAACACAGATAGACATTCTTCTGGTATTCCCTGCTTTCAGCTAAGATCCATCTAACATCAGATACAATACCCCTAGTACCACGACCCCTTCTAAACCCAGCCTGGACTTCCAGCAGTTCTCTGCTGATGGGCTATTCCAGTTGTTTTTGGATACTCTTCAGTAGAATCTTGCTCGCATGTGAAATCAATGATACCGTTCTATAGTTTCCACACTCTGTTGAGAATCTCAATCTCTCTCTCTCAAAAAAAGACATTATCCTGCACTAAATGTTATGTCTTGGTAGATGTTTGTGTTTACAAAGGACAGGGCAGGAATTAAAGGTAAATATGATACAGGCAATCTATATATTTTGTTGTTATAAGTTTAGGTACATTTCCCCATTCCTTTCTTTGGAGCCCAATTTTTTTTTATTTAACTTTTTAAAATTATTATTAATTTTAATGAGGATTTACAGAGACTTTGGATTTCCATTCATTCATTGTTGTACTTTTTCCCCTGTCCATCCCCTTCCCCCAGTAAAAAAAAATAAAAATTATTTCATTGTTATACAATCCCTCCCCCCAAGTCCACACATCATTATGCAGGCTTTGCTCTGGACTCCTGTCATAACAATAATACTTAATCATATATCCTTTTTAAAAAGTTCTCTCCCTCATCTGTTTCAATGCAATGGTGTACATAATTTATCCCATCTTTCTCAGTCTCCTCCCAACCCAAATGTCAGTCCTGTTTTACAACAGTGGCACTATGTAGTATTTGTCCTTTTGTGACTGATACATTTCACTCAGCATAATGTCCTTCAGGGTCACCAATTTTGTATAATATTTCATGAGTTCTTTTTTTTTTCAATGTAGCATAGTATTCCACTGTGTGAATATACCACAGCTTCCCTATCCATTAGTTTGATGATGGGCACTTAGGGTGTTTCCAATTCTTTGCTATTGTGAACAAAGTCATGATACCATAGGTGTGCAAAGATCTGCTTGGGTGTTGGTTATGCTCTCTTTAGGGTATATTCCCAGTAGTGGAATTGCTGAGTCAAATGGTATTTCCATTTCCAACTTTTTGAGAAAGCACCATACAGCTTTCCATAGTGGTTACACCATTTTACAATCTCACCATCAGTGAATTAGGGTTCCAGTCTCTCCACAACCTCGCCAGCATTTGTTGCTTGCTGTTCTGTTAAATTTTGCTATTCTGACTGTGGTGAGATGATATCTCATAGTTGTTTTGATTTGCATCTCTCTTAGAGTTAGGGATTTTGAACATTTCTTCATGTGTTTGTTTGCCATCTGAATGTCTTCTTTGGTGAAGTGTCTGTTCATATCTTGTGTCCATTTTTCAATTGGGTTATTTATCTTGTTGTGGTGCTCGAGTATTTTATAAATTCTAGATATAAGTCCCTTATCTGACATGTCATTACCAATACTTTTTCCCAGTCTGTGGCTTCCCTTTTTACCCTCTTGGAGAAATTTTTGGATGTGCATAGGGATTTGATTCTTAGAAGGTCCCATTCATCTATTTTATCCTCTCCTGGTTGCAGATTTTTCAGGATGCTTGGAAGACTGTTTATGTGACTTCTAGAGTTCTTCCAACCTTTCCTTTAATGAAGTTTATAGTCCTTGGTTTTAGTCCTAGGTCCATGATCCACCTTCCGTTGGTTTTTGTGTGTGGAGTAAGGTGTGGATCTTGCTTGGGTTTTCTCAGATAGTTTTCCAATATTGCCAACATCATTTGTTAAAAAGGCTGTCATTTCCCCAGTTACCTGATTTCATCTCCTTGTCAAAAATCAGTTGACCATAGTTAGATGGTCTGATTTCTGGATTCTCAATTCTATTCCACTGATCTATTTGTCTGTCATTGTACCAATACCACACTGTCTTGACAACCACGGCGGTGTAGTAGGATTGGAAGTCAAGGAGTGAGATGCCTCCTACCTTGTTTCTATTTTTAAGGAGTGTTTTGCTTAGTTAGGGCTTGTTTCCATTCCAAATGAAACTGGAGATTGCCTTTTCTATCTTGTTGAAGAATGGGATTGGTATTTGTATTGGGATTGCAATGTAAATTGCCTTTGGTAGTATTGCCATTTTCACAATATTGAGTTTTCTTATCCATGAGCAAGGGATATTCTTCCACTTCTCCAGGTCTCTTTTTGTTTCTTGTAGTAATGTTTTTGTAGTTCTCTTTGAATAGATCCTTTGTGCTTCTGGTTAGATTCACTCCCAAGTATTTAATCTTTTAATAAGCTATTGCAATGTGTATTGTTTTTCTTAGCTCCAGCTCTGTATTCTCTTTGTCACTTGTAGAGAAATCCAACTGATTTCTGTATGTTGATCTTGTATCCTGCCACTTTGCTGAATTAGTCAACTATGTCCAGTGATTTTCTCGCTGAGTCTTTAGGGCTGCTTTCTAAGTATACTATCATATCATCTGTAAGAGAGATAATTTTACCTCCTCTTTGCCAATTTCGATATCTCTTATTTCCTTCTCTTGTCTTACTGCTATTGCTAAGACTTCCAATACAATATTGAATAAGAGAGGTGATAGTATGGAGCCCAAATTTTAATATTACTAATATTAATATCAGCATGTAGTGTTTCTAATGAGTAGACTCTCAAACTAAACCTAGCTTATAAGGGCATCAATATATTATCAAAGAAAAAGACAAATAGAGAAAATATGTTATCATAATAAAGAACAATAATAATAATGAGGAGGAGGGAGAGGAAAAAAATCATTCAAGAATTTTTCCCTTTAACTGAATATGGTATGAATCCTAAATGAGGCCCTGACAGCCAACATAAAATTCAAAGACCATATAACAGTTCTGAGTAGAAGAGATTCATATTTTCATATTAAATTAAGTCATTAAAGTAAATGAAATCTAGAAAACTGATAAACTCCTAAAAATGAGGAAGAAACAAATGAAGGAATAAAATTTCACATAAATCTCTTTGAAATACTCAAATTTAGTAAAAAACAATCCCAATCAGTTATATTTTCATTTAAATAAACTGTATATTCACAACAAAATGTAAACTTTTTTATTACACAAGAAATTCAATGAGAAGCACTACCTTTGAAAACATGCCAAGTAGAACAACAACATTATTAAGCTAATTAGTAATTAATAATTTTAGTAAAATTAAATGTTAAATGAAATTTTAAAATTAATAAATTAACAAATATATGAATTCTCAATTAAGTTCTAAGATACACTCTTGCAACCACTTATGCAAAGGCATGTTTCCAAATTATATTAATAAAAACAGTTCTTTATCAAAATTGTCTACAATAAAATATTCAGAAAAATAGGGATAAAATAAAAATTGAAAATACAAAATGCCTTCCACAGAAAGCCAAGTCTCACCCTAATTGATGCTTTGTTGCAAAAAACTTTGTTGATAGCAAGCCATGTTGGCAAGTCTAACATATTCTGGAGGACTTCTTCATCCAACTCCAGATTTTTCAGTTCACCTTCTCCTTTCAGGGTACTCAGATTTATCTTATCAGGAGACAAATTTTTGGTAAATCTGAAAGATAATATATGTTGATATTAGTTTTAAAGTTAGTTATTATACCTGAGTCAGTCTTGCAATACAGACATTAAAAAATGTAATAGCCACCCAATAATTTCAAATTAAGGATAGAATTTTATTTAATCCAAGATTTTCCATATGTTGTTTCTTTTACTATACACATTGTTGTTGTTAGGTGCCAGGGAGGTAAAGCAACCAACCCTATGAACAACACATCTGAACCCTGTCCTATCCTTTGCCATTCTCATCATCCATCCCCGAAATGCTAGAGCCCACTGCTGCTATCACTGTGCCAAACCATATCTCTGACGGTCCTCCTTTCCTTCACTGACCTTCTACCTGTCCAAGCTTGCTGACCCTTATTCAGGAATAGCTCCTTCTAACAATATGTTCAAAGGATATAAGATGAAGCTTCAGCCTCTAATGGACACTCTGGCTGTACTTTCTCCAAGAAAAGTTTTTTTACAAAGAATGAACAGGATTCAACACTCTTCTCTAACATAACAACTCAAAGGCATCAATTCTTCTGTCATCTTTATTCACTGTTCAGCTCTCAGATGCATATCAAGCGATTGAAAAGTCCATGGACCTAATTAGGTAATCTTGGTTTTTAAACTGACATCATGGCTCCAAAATATTTTGGAGAAATCCCTGACAGGAGACTCTCCCAATGCAACATGGTTTTTTGATTTTTTGACTACTAGTACCAAGTACAAATATATTAGATACGTTCTAATCTACTAACCAATCTACAAAGAAGGTAAGAAATTAAGAGTACCCTTTAGCAGCAGCAGTAGTTATTTATCATGACAAAACTGATGATCAAAGAACACAATACTACTTTTAGAATCATTCAGTGACTTTCAGCTTTATAAATGGATCCAAAGAATTCTAAGTAAATATGTCTTTCTTAAAAGCTATATGAGGAAGAGGGTTGTACAACTACATTTAAGAGAAAATGTTGGTGTTTCCCAGGTGACACTCTAAAAACATCAATTATCTGAAACATTGAACTTGCTATATGAATGCTATTTATTATTCCTAAAGGTACTACGAAAACAGAATCATAAAATGCTTAATGAAAATGCCAAAAATCACACAGGAGATGAAACTTCCACTGCATTAAATAACTCAGGTTTTCCATAATGACTCATTGAATGAGACCTTCTGAAAATTAAGTACCTGTGTGCTTCACAACCTTTCCCAAAAGCTGAAAAAAATCTTACAGACTAGAAAAAAAAATGTGGAGATGACATCTCAAAAAAGAGTCTCAGAAAGAAAATTTACAGACTATTAAAAGGAAACTTTCCACAAGGAAAAGAATAATAAGCCAATCACAATACAGGCTTAATGACATCAAGAGACCTTTCACAAAGGAAGCCATTCAGATGGCCAATAGACACATGAAGAAATGCTCAAAATCAGTGGCAATCAGTGAGATGCAAATAAAAACCACATTGAGATACCATCTCACCCCAGAAGCAGTAGCAGAAGTTTAACAAGACAACAGCAATAAATGATGGAGAGGTCATAGAGAGAATGGAACTCTCATGCAATGGTACAATCACTCTGAAAGACAGTTTGATGTTTTCTCAAAAAGTTGAATGTAGAAATTCAGTATGATCCAGCTAGTCTACTGCTAGGAATATACTCAAGGAAATTAGAACAGAGATACAAATGGAAATGTGTACACCTATGCTCATAGCAGTGTTATTCAGAGATGCAAGAAAATGGAAACAGCCAAATGCACATCAACAAATAAATGGACTGAAAAATTTGGTATACTCACACAATGGCATACTACACAATACTAAGGAGAAAGAATTTCTTTTTATATTTTTTTATTTTATGCTGGTTTACAACAGCAATGACTTTGTAAAATACTATATAACATGGAAGAGTCTAGAGAGCATTATGATGACTGAACTAACTCAGTCTCATAGGGACAAATACTGCATAAGAGTAATACTTTAAAAATAGTATAACTGGTTAAGATGTGTATAAAAATCCAAAAGGGAAAAGGGAGGGTATGAAACCAGAGTTTGGTGGGTAGAGGAGGGTGGGGTGAAAGAATTAAGAAAGATCTAATGAAGACCTGAAAAGATGGGGTAGAGACATAGAACAATGGTAATTAATTTAATAATACAATGTATATGGTTTGAATCCACCAGATGTGTCAGATCTGATTTGATGGTACACACACAAAAAAATAATGACATTTTTTAAAACATTTTAAAAAACTAGAATGTATATGAGTATTTAAAAGTCAGTCCCTGAGGGATATTTTAATCACTTGTTATTGTATTTTGGAGGAACATTCTTCTAAGTCTGTACAGCACTCTTCTGTCAATATGTACTGAGGTGATGTGGGTTTGCTGTGACATTGAACCTTGTGCCACTGGGATCTCAGATACTATAAATGGTTGCCCATGGTGTGGAGTGCTCAGTTTAAGACAGGTTTGGAAGCAGGTGTGGCATCCACTTCCTGAACCTTATGCCTCTGGAAACTCCATGAACTTGGAGAAACAATATTTATAGAAAGGCTTTATGTCTTTTGTTCATAGGGTCAGTATGAGTCCTGCGGGACTTGGAGGTAATCAACAATAATACATATGAATATCCATTTAAAACACAGTGTGAATTCAAGCGTGTGTGAATCATAATATATATAAATGATACACAATGTATATGAATTGCATATGCAACCAAGATAAAATAAAGTGGAGGGGAAAACTCAGTGGACTGTTACTATGAGTTGGAATCATCCCCGTAAAAAAAAAAAAAAAACAAAACCCGTAACTCTTCAAGAATGGTAATGTAATGGCAGCCTGGTCAGACACACCACACAATTTTTTTCTACTGAAAAACAAAGTGAAACAGATATAGATCATAATCTTAGAAACCTGAGCAACAAAATAAAAGATAAAAAATTATTAACACTGACTAAATGAAGAAACAGAACAGAAACAGTGAACTAACAGAGATATGGGGAAGTATCCTACCAGCTGAACCAGCCATCTTTAGATAAGTAAACCACATTCTCAGGTGGCGAGTAGAGAGGACGAGACACAGTGCAGGCAAAAAGCTAGGTAAGAGCTCCAGGGTCCTAGATGAATATTGCATGGAGGGACCACATAACCAGGAAATATGAACAAGAATCACTTACCTTCAGTGGTCTCTTTGTTCATGCAGGTTGAAGACCCACACCGAGGAAAGGATTTGTGTTGTAACAGCTAACACTAGACTGTGGACACTGAGAGCTTACTGAATCTGCACTGAGAATGACTAGCATCCAAGCTGGTCCTCAGCAACCACAGGTACATGGTTTCCCTTCTTACCTGCCCCACTCTGCTACCCTAATGATCAGAGTATAACCCTCACACTCACACTACTGGAAGCCCAACCATGCTGGTTCCCAACACTTTGTTTACCGAGCAACCAGTAGCAATCTCTACCACAGATAATCCATCGTGTACTACATGCTACTATCTGGGTAGCTAGTGACACATGCTCATGTCTACCACAATCTAGGTCTCTCAATGGCTACTGGGGACAGGAATGCATTAGCATATCATACACCACTTAACCACCATCACCGCACTTGGCAAAGAAAGTTTCTGCTTGATGCCACTCACGTCCCCAGAGACCAGAAGTATACACTTGTGCCTGCTGCTGTACCTGAGACATGCATTCCCACTCACATACACTCTCACTTACTGCTCTACCTGCTCTCTTACAACCTCACAACTACATGCATTGCCATCTGTCATCCAGGCTTTTCCCTTCTTTATGACATCAATTTTGGCAGCTGTGTATGCACCTGCCCACTTCCCACTCTCCAAAATCAGCAAGGTCTGCAACCACTTGGCAATACATTTGCCCACTCCCATCCTCTACCTCCTCTACCTGACAAGTAACAGCAAATATGATTTACTATGCTGGGGATGAAAATGTGAGAAAAAATGGGGTTGGCTTCATAATTACTAAAAAAGTCATTTCTATACTAATCATGAAATACAATGTGGTGAGTACAGGATAATATCCATACGCATACAAGGAAGTCCAGTGAATACCACTATCATTCAAATACATGCACCAACAACTAGAGCCAAAGAGGAGGAAATAGAAGATTTCTACCAACTTATGCAATCAGAAATTGATCAAACATGCAATCAAGATGCATTAATAATAATGAGTGACTGGAACGCAAAAGTTGGGAACAGGGAAGAAGGATCAGCAGCTGGAAAACAAGGGCTTGGTGAGAGAAACGAGGCTGGAGATAGAATGAAAGAGTTCTGCACATTCAATGATTTATTCATTGCAAATACCTTTTATAAGAAACATAAATGCAGGCTATACACATAGATTTCACCTAATGGTATGCATAGGAATCAAATAGATTACATTTGTGGAAAGACTCGGTGAAGAATCTCAATATAAGCAGTGAAAACCAGGCTGGGTGCTGATTGTGGGACAGACCACCAACTATATATGCAAGTTCAAGCTGAAGTTGAGGAAAATTAAATCAAGTCCATTGGAACCAAGATGTGACCTTAAGTCTGTCGCACTCGACTTTCAAAACCATCTAAGGAACAGGTTAGAGGCCTTGGACACCAGTGAGCGTAGGCAAAACAAGCTCTGGGAGGATATCAAGAAAATCACTCATGAAGAATGCAAAAGATCATTACAAAGGCTGAAAAAGAAGAAAAGACCAAGATGGATGTCAGATGAGACTGAGTATTGCATTAGAGCGCAGAGAAGGCAAAGCTAAAGAAAGAAATCAAAGAGCTCAACAGAAAATTTCAAAAGGCAGCGAGGGATGACAAAGCAAGATACTATAATGAAATGTGCATAGAGCTGGAGTCAGAATATCAAAAGGGCCAAACTCACTCAACGTTTCTTAAGCTGAAGGAGCTGAAAGACAAATTCAAGCTACGGGTGGCAATACTTAAGGAGGGGTAGAATGTTGAATGACCCAGGAAGTATCAAAAGAA